TCGTACTTTGTCGATTGGTTTCTTATACAATCGAATCATATTCTTGCAGGTGGCCTGAACGGAAACGTCTCGTGCCTTCTAGCCACTCTCACGCCTATTACTTGGAGCCATCATGACCGTCAATCGGCATTAGCGTGTTGAATCAAACTTACGTGTGCACGAGTGGGCCCGACATCTGTTGGCAACATTTTTTGGAGTCAACAGATTCAATTATTTCTAACTTCAATTTGATAAAAAACAAATAAAATAGTTATTTTTTTTATTTTCTATTTTAAATATACTAAAATAAAAACGATTTTTTAATATGATGTTTAAGTGTTAGAATTTATGATTTTTTCCATAGTTATCCCCATAATCTCAATTACCAAGTTTTATACAATTGACTATGTTTACCCGATCAAATTCTTTCAATGTATTCAGTTTACCCCTCTCGAATTCTTATTAAGTCTAATTAACTAATTTAATTCCATATCTATATGTGAATCAATCTTAGTTAAATACAATTATTGTTCTAAGAATTCAAGTAATGAACGCAATAACTAGCATACGTATTTCTAGATTTTATACTAATTATCGATTTTTGCTACATGGTCTAAACAAATAATCCACATCTCTACGTAATTATTGTTCACAAAATCAATGAACTAGTGGCCAATTAATCCAAGTATTAAGATTGGAAGTAAAAACAATTCACACAATTAATTGAGATTTAAATTTTTTTTAATTAAAATTAAGGTTCAAAACTAGGTTACAATCATTAATCTTAACTAAATAATTAATTACACATCATGAAGAATAAAAAGATAAGAAGGAATTAAAGTACATCACTGGGTTTCTTAATTGTAAAATCTTGAAACCCTAACTCCTTGATTAATTTCTTAATTTTTCCCCTCCTTTTGGCTTGAATAATATATGTACAATAAATCCCCCAACCCTTGGCTTGAATACATGTGTCTAATAAAATCCTACAAGTCCCTCTAATTGTTGGACTATGATGTGTATTTATATAAATAAGATTAGGCAAAATCTTTATTCAAATTGATTTCCATCAAAGAGTTCAAATTGGTTGCTACCAAAAAAATTAAAAAATAAAAGAAAACAAATTCAATTTTCAATTGAACCCATTTTCTCATGTGACTTTATTCCTCCTCCTTTTAATATTGCAATTAAGTCCTCTTATGAATTTTGTTGATCGGAGATAAATTTCAAAGTTTGCATTTTGTCCTCAAACTTTTCAGATGTCGAATTTAACTCCCGAAACTTATGAATTTTTACCAAATACTCCATTAATACTCCAAGTTAGTTTTCGTGCATTTCGGATTTTTTGTTATAGAAAGTTGTTTGTGACAAGGACAGTTGCCATAAATATGCAATGTTATTTATTTATGAATGTATTTGGAATAGTAGATTGATAGAGAATATGTAGTTGAAAAATAAGAGAAAGTTTTAAATTTATATGTAATATTATTTTGTTGAAGAATGTGCGATTGAAAAGAAGAGAGAGAAAAATGTATTTTGAAAATAATGGGGATCAAATAAGGGCTCATTGTTTACAAATTGTAGGAATTTGCATTTGTCTGAATCCCAGAAATTAAATGAAATGAGACTTAAATTCAGTATATTTATCATTTTTGATTGATTGATTTATATCTTTATATTTATCACATCATATACTCAAGTGCAGATTGGTGTCACCGTAATTACCATGCATGCAAAGCATCCAAGCAACACGAACCTGATCTTGTTAAACTTTTATACAAAAAAATGGTAGTAATAATCTTCTCGTTCATTTTGGATTTTTCTTTTTGTTATAGAAGGTTGGTTGTGACAAGGATGAGTAAGTGCACTGATACATCCAAATTATGTTGGTACCTATCCTCATCATGTATAATCAAAACGTAGCATGGATTAAGTCATCATCTCCCAAATAATAACAAAAGTGTACATCTAGTTTGGCATTTGATGTGGTGTTAACAAATTATTGAAGAGAAAATTGTTTAATTTTTTAAACTGTCCAATGATATGGTACACGCGACAAAGTGAATGATGATATACATGTAACATGATTGTACGTAACAATTAGTAAGTAATGTGAAATAAGTAGAATTTTATTGAAATAAATGATGACCATCATTTTATAGATGGTTTAAGTCATCGATTTTTGTGTGTCAAATGATGAAATTGGACGAAGTTATATGATTGAAATCAAATTGAAGTGTAGCTATCCAATGTGCAATTAAAATCATAACTTTCAAGTGCTCAAAAAAAGGTTTGGGGACCCAAATTGATGTTTTAAGAATAGTTTGAGGACTAAAGACCCAATTCCCTTATCGTCATACTCAAGGTTCGGCAACGGTGCCATTTACAGAAGAACCATTTTCACTGACAAATCAGAACTAAGTCCCTCGTCTCCAGTAAACGTCGAGGTATCTGCTAAATGCCTTTGCTATAGGTTTTTATTCGTATCGCTTACTTTAATTTTGATATTTCCTGTGTTTTCTTCATCTTCAATTTTTGTGCTCTTGAATACTCCCTTATACGCCGATTTGATTACTCCTGGTCTTATTTTTTCTTGGAATTTTGTGTACACATTATGTATTAGTGCGTGATTTAAGATCCCACTCGAAATTAGAGACATTTTTCTGGTCGCTGACAAATTTCTTCAATTTTATATCCATGTGTAATTTAACCAAAGAAATTATATTTTAAATTTAAACATGACTATAATCGACCGAAAAATGTTTGTGTATTCGTATAATTGTTGGAAGTGCTTCATAGCACGCAATACACAATCTTTAAGATTATTTTCCGTGAGAAAAGGAATTTTGTAGATTTTTATACTGTGTTGGCGTACTATTCCTCAAAGGTCTAAATGAATATTTCATTTACTGTTTCCTTGTGAAGGAAATATCGATGTAATAGGGCTTAGCTTGTTTTCAATAGTATTTTATTTTCTCGAACTTTTATAATCCTTTAGACGAATTGTTAGAAATCAGACGAGAGAAGGCTATGGCAAGTCGTGATGAATCAAGTGTGCCCAGAAAGCAATCAAGTGACGTTGCGGATGAGATATCAACTTTCAATGCTGAAAATATGCAAAACAATGCAAAAATTATATACTACAGGTTTGTTCGCTATCTTAGTAAAATGAAGTCATACTATTATTCAACATAGATTGACGCTGTAAGTTGATTGCACTTGAGTTTAAGGCTATTGATTTATTCAGTTTTATGTGTGGTCTGGATGCAGTTGGAAAGAGCATTGTTCTGATGCAGTTCGCACTGCTAACCAATTGTCAGAACAGAAATTTTTGTTGAGGACCTGAGAATATTCATTATAAACTGCATTTACAACATGTAGACAAATAATAAACTTGGGAATAGTTTTGTTGTAGATTAGCTTTACTTTTATAAAAACTTTGAATGGACTAGTATTTTGAGTTATGAATAATATGCGCTAGTAGTATAATTATTTGGTGCATCACCAACTGGGAGGTGAACCTGATGAGGATTGACCTGTTAAGAAATGTCATCTTCCCAAGAACTGTAGAATATTTCCATCCCAGTGCTGCTGACATTAAGCCATTTGGTTTAGAAGCCAATCATACTTGCCTACAGTCTTTTCAATTTTCCCCTTCTATACAACTGCAAGGTCTTCCGTTAATGCTGAACCTGGGGAATTCTCTTGTTTTCAGCCGCACATTTATGTCTATTATTGGAGGAGTCATTGCCGGAATTTTGGGATTCACTGGCTTGACTGGATTTATCGTCTATTTCCTTGTCATGGCAATTACTTCAGTAGGAATTGCTGCCAAGGCTGGGTTTTCTGTTCTTCCTTATTTTAATAGCTGGAACCAGATTCTAATTGATGGCTTTCTAGGCGGGCTTCTGGTATGCCTATTTCTTGCTTGTATCAAGTTCTTTTTCTTCCACCTTTTGTTGCCATTGATATTTCAGAAGATAATATTCTCTGTAATGTTCAATACTTGCTGAAAAATGAAAATTGTTTATTTTTGTCCATGACTTAAATTCAGCTATTATGGGCTCTATGATTAGTTGTATGACTGGAAAAGCTTATTACATCCACATGATTTGGTCGGATTCTTTAGCTTGTCTTCATGTAGATTGTTAAAAGGAATATATATCCCAATGGCTCATTCATGATGGTGCATATGTTTTAAATTGCATCAATGTGTTACTTTCCGATGGCAAGAGATCTAATCACAATTGTTTTTGCTTCTTGCAGTCGTTCGTGCTCTTTTGGACGTATCCTTATTTTTGTATTTATCTATTTTAGGACTATCAGCAGAGTTTTTTATATTCATTTTTTCTGGGTGCTTTAGTAGGACTTCAAATCCATAGGATGTTACTCCTCAGCCTTTTTACTGTTAAGTCAGATAGATAAAATTATTTTCAATCAGGCCTTTTGCCTGTAAGTTAACCTGATGATACATGTTACTTGGGAGCTGCACTATTAATTTTGTAAATTCAGTTGGTCTTACTATCAAAACCAATCATTGACCAGATAGGGCGCTGTTAAATAGAACTTCGTGTTATTGATGTGTGTTGAACTGACTCTCTCTTGGCAGCAATGAGGGAATCAGGGACAAAGGTCTATTTTTTATTTTATTTTCCAAAGATCATCTGATTTTTGTTTTCCCTTTTTTCATTTGAAAGTAGTTCTCACCTTTCCTTCACAGAGAAAAGATTTGCTTACGACTTCGTGCATATTTTCTAAAGACTCCTGGTGATTACTGCCAAAGCATCACTCTACAGTAAATGTACTTGTACACGAGAGTACCAGAAGAAATGGTTATGCTGTTTTGATTGATAGGTTAGATCGTTGAGGCACTTTATATGTATTTTGATTTGTGAAGTTTTACTTTTACAATGATTGTCAGATTGGAGAAAATATTCCAATTATTTTGTTGGATAAAGTTATGTGGAGCAATATAGTGAAGGTCATATGAGTTACTCATTGCGGTTAGCAATACAAGGTCTTCATGGTAGAAATTAGTGAGCCTCATATTGGGCTTGTATGGCCTAAGTATTCACAATGAAATATTCTCCCAAAGAATGATGACGACGAATTCTCACTTGTAGGTGATTCCTCAATTCTTGCTCAAACAATTCTTTAAAATGATCACAACCAAGGAAAATTACTTGCTCTACAAAAGATGGAACTACCTCCATTCTCGTCCAAATAGTAGCCCTCAAAACCTACGCAACATCTTGTTCAACCAATTCCTTTTCAGAGATGGAAGAAACTAAAGCACGGTTATCAAGATAATTGGATGCAGAGCTTGTGCGCTCAAGTTCATATGGCTCAACAAAGATTGAAGGAGCTCTAACATTTTCAGATATTTTGTTTTCAAAAGACGACATTTGGGGGCCATGAGTTGGGACATGTAGATTGAAATTACTTCGATCTCTTAGTGTCGTCCTATGGGCTTGTTTTGTATGGCTTTTGAAAAGTCAAAATGATTTTTTGAGACTTGGAAGATGCTTTGCACTCGTTTGACTAATTTTATGAAAGTGTATTTGGTAATTAGAAGAGCTTTTAGAAAAAAACAGGTTCAATATATCTTCCTCTATATATAGTGGTTTAGTACCAGAGGAAATGGTGGTTTTTGTTTTTTGCAAGATAAACCAGAAACACAAACGGGTACACAACAAAATGCAAAGTTTCATTCAGCAACTTAGTTTAGCAGTTGAAGACGAACAAAGTCGTTCAATTTCTTTATAAGCAGTCCAAACACAACAGTCTTTATTCTTGGATGGACGAATCCGACGTACACATTATGATCCTTTGCAAGTAAAACTAACTGTTTCTACTAAACATAAACCAGCTCATTTAGTAGGCAGCAGTTAAAATTTGATAATGGCAGCTCCATTTGACGGCTTAGATGCAAAAATGTAGAGGCCAAGATTGTTCTTACAGACAACTCCCTTGACAATTCTTGATCGATAAAATTGCTCCCGCCACAAGTAAAGGAACAATCTTTATACTCAAGGGCTTGCACCCAAATCGCGGTAGAAGACAGAGATTCTAACCTTGATATTAAGGATAATTGAGGAACAATGCTTTCTTTCACCAAGGCAACAGCACAACCACCCCATCCAGCTCAAGTAAGCCTTGCTCCAAGAGCAACATTGTCACGACAAATCTTCACAAGCTCTTCTAACTCGGGACAGCTAATTAATAAGTATAATAACTTTGGAATTAATATTTCAGTAGAGGCAGAAATATTTGGGAAGAGAAGCATTGTGAAGAAAATTAAGAGCCTTGCACTTGCATTCATATAATACACTGCAGCTATAGTGGCTATCATTCATAAGGTCACCAAGCTTCTTCAACATCTATTCCTCACTGCAATAACAAGTCCATAGAAGTTATTGGCTTCATAATTTAAATAGTCAAAATTAATCTAGTTTTTCAGCTTCAATGATCAGAATCTGGTTATGTCAGAGTTTCAGGGTACGTGCTCAAGGTAGAGTTGTCAATTTGGGTGGTCCGGACCGGGTCGGGTCGGGTCGGGTCAGCTCGCCAACATATGAGCCCGGTAACGGCCCGCGTGAAAAAAGCCCGCTCGCTACGGGTTCTGAGCTGGTTTCGGGTCGGCCCACAAATTTTGGACTACAGCCCAGGTCTGCCCGCTGATCCATCCGGGTCAAGCCCATGCGGGTCACGGTTTGTTNTTCCATTATGCAAACAATCATAATTCACACCCGGAATAAATTGAAGCACATATGAATGACTGAATCTCACATAAACCCACGCAGAGAATGAAATAAAAGCATAGAATTGAAATGGAACGGAGAGGCCACGATTTGGAATACCAGAATTCTTCTTGGTACAACCGTGCAATGAAGGTTGGGACACCAGTCACACCAGAATTCTTGTCAATGCCGAATGGAATTGCCGAGTTGAAGAGGCGATTTGGGAATTCTGGAGCGCCACTTCAATTTTCCTTCATGCGGTGTCGAGAGTCCCTTCAATTTCCTCCCCTTTTCTTCTATTTGGTGCTTTGCGTGCTGGACATTTTTATTTGCAGATTTGAGTTCTCTTTCAATTAATCCCATATCTTCCTCTCAAGAGGCCTCTTTTTACGATACTGATATGGATGAAGGGAGACACAATAATTTTTGGGGTAAAGCCTCTGATTCTAGTGATGGATTTATAGAAAATAATGAATCCATTGATCTAAATGCAAGCTTAAATGAAGAAGATGAGATGAACCTGAATGCATTGAGCAGTGGGAAGGACACGACTACTGGGCAATCAAAACTGTGCTAGAGTCTTATCAAAAAAAAAAAAAAACTCTGTGCTAGAGGACACTGGAGGCCTATTCTTCTGGGATGGGCTACTATTTTGAGGCCCTGAGCCCAAGCCAAAATTTTGAGGCCCTAGGCCTTTGCCTAGGTGGCTTGGTCCCAGGGCCGGCTCTGGCGTGTACACGCTTTGCTTCAGAGTAGACATGGGCAGCTCTCTGAAAATGTATTTAGAATAAAATTACATAAAATCTTCCAAGGCTGGTAAAACGATTACTTCATTTCACCCAAAGGACCAACTATTCCGAAGTTAGTGAACGGGGTACCCATTTCTTAGGGTTATTTCTGGCAATAAAATTTCAATAGCTGACTACAACAGACGCCACAGCTGCAAAATTTTTAAACGAATAGAAAATTACCTGGTGCAACTTAAAATGTTTTGCAGCTCTCAGCACATCCAAGGAAGAAGGAGAATTGGCAAAGGTAATTTGCAGTTTTTCTTCGGTTATTTTCTCAATATCTTCAGCACTATATGGGTTCATTGTTCAAAAATTCCTTTTGCAAAATAAAACAAACCATTACTCCTAACGGTCACAGAAATGTGAGAATATTCACAAGCAATTAGAGAGTTAAAGTAAATAAGCAATCGATAACCCTCAGAAAGACAATAACTACAAGAGTGATGCCAACTGCCAAGAGAGTAGACGTGAAAAAGTAATAAGCAAACAACTCAACAATCAGTATATCACAGAGATAGGTAGAAAACGAAAGGAAGCATTAACCCATGTTGAACACAAGACTACTATAGCACTAAAACACGCAACTCTATCACACGGTAATCAATTCATCTGGCAGCAAACATGCATGCTAACGCAAAGAACATGCAGCAAGAAGCATTTAAAACAAATGCCAACACAGGTGAAAGTTAAACCAAATAACTTACAGAAGCTAAACGGCATTCAACAACCTTGTTATTGTAATTAATTGCAGCAGTAAAGGCTTTCTAAGATTTAGCCAATGAATGAGCTATAAGAAAAGTCCCACCAGCAGGGAGTTGCACCTCAGTTGCACGAATAGGATCAAAAACAATGAGAGCTGCATACCCAGATTGAGCCATCACCGAGATTACCTGTCAAATATAGGAGCAAAATTGTAAGTTAAGGACATTGATCATTTAAAAAGAGAGAACTTCATCACAAATAAGAAATATAATACCAGAGAACAGACATTATAGAATCACAAATTATAAAAAAAGCTTTCACTAGAACTATTTTAGCAAGTATAGAACATTTTTAGCCTTATAGTTCTCTTGGGCTTAGAACAAATTTCCACTCCATTAGATTCAGGAAATTTTTTAGAAAGAAGATAAATTACCTGGTACATTCCACTGGATTGGGTGGAAATGTGTCTTTCGCATTCACATGTAACTCGAGCAAGTTCTTTCTGAAAAAAAAAAAAAAGTGAAAACGACCTAACAACTTCACAACTGAAGTGGACAAAGTGATCTCCACTGCGTGTCTATCCTCTGCTTCTTTGCTAAAGAACCAAAAACACAGATGCCAATCTTTTTATGTCATGCGAGCACTCTTGATCTGATTTATGGAAACAAATCACCAGAAGAACAATGTAGCGACCGAAAATTTCTTACTCTTACAAAGAAAATTTTTTTTACTTAAAAGATCGAAGGGTTTAATTAACTCGTCGCGTCGCTACGATACCTCTATTATTTTAAGTTATTCATTTGGTCACCATAGTATGTTGCATAGAATCATTTTTTATACATGACGATCTAATTATCTTAGCTTAGTCCCATTATTTTGAAAACCCATGTTATATTAATTTGATCGGTTATTTTCAGTTTTTTTTAAAAACCATGATTTAGTTTATTTATTTTAAAGTGACGACGATTTAATTTGGCAACTACATACTACTCAATCCAAAATTTTTTTTTATTAAACAATATTTGAGATTTGCTTCAAAATAAAATATTTCATTCTTTTTTTTTACCATCCTCGAAGTTCAATAACTACCCACTTAACATATTAACCACCATTTTCATTTTTAACTACCAATATATATAAATATATACACACACATTTGGTTTTGGATTGGCACGTTCCTATTAGGATAACATTTTGAAAATTCATAACCACCCCACCACTTTATCCTTTGGATATTGTTTGTCAACTGCCTGGAGACCGGATATTAACTTGCACAAACTGGAGCCATCATTTATACACACAACATTCAACTCACCTTTGCAAATTGGCAATTTTGGCTTTTGTGACAAGGAATAAGTCTTCTCATTCTATTTTTTTTACTTCTCATACACACGTGCACAACCATTTCCATATATACACTTGAAGAAGAGCAAAGACAAGCTTGCTGATTTTTGGTGACAGTGCTAATTGAAAATTTCATCTACGACTCAACTCTAGCAATTTTTCTAAAGATCTTAAGGTAGTATCATCTCCCGTACACAAGTTGATTTTGCTTTTGAGAAATTTATATGCTAGCATGTACGTAACCGTAATTGCTCTATGAATTATGTTGTGATTGAAGGTAATCACTATGACTATGAATATTTGTGATTGAAGGTAATCACTATGTAAATTATTTTGTGATTGAAGGTAATCACTAGAAGAAAAGTATGTCGATTGATCACCGATTTACTATGAAGTACGGCTTTTGCATGTTATGTAAATGTTTGTATATAATTCTCGTTAGCATGTGTACATACTACTGAGTGTTTCTTCGAAATGCTCACCCTAATTAAACATTTCAGATTGACGAGCTTGGCGGGAGGCGTGATGGCGGATGGCAGTGATTATTACTATATGTAAATTATGTTTTAACTTGTTTATTTCATGAATTTAAGTGGACCAATGACTTTAGTGTCTTGTTTAAATGTTAACTTTGTAAAAGCAATTAAATCAGTTTCTGCTTTGGAATTTCAGATTCTGCCTTCAATTTGAAAATGGTATAACTTAGGCTACGGTACATGATTTTGAGGGAAATCAGTTTGGTATGAAAGATCTATGAGTCTTCTAACAGTGGCCTTTGGAATTTCCTCGAAATATTATCTAGAGAAAAAGTTATGCCCGTTTTAGTGAGCTGCGTCGGAACAGTTTCGGGTTTCTGTCCACCTCCGTTTGAAAAATATTTTCGTGCTTTAAATGTTATCATCGAGACCCAAAATTTTTATATATGGTTCCTACATGAATGAAAATGCCTCTATTAAAATTTCATAAGTTTTCGGCGACGTTTGCTAGGTCAAATAATTTTTATCTTTCCGCTGCTACGCTAGGGTCACTGCTGAGATTCTTCCGAATGTTTTACAAAATTCAAATTTTACCATAATTGACTAAGTTTATATAGGAAATTATCTCTCATCATATTTTATTATATATTTCAAACTTTAAATTTCCCGTATTTGAAATATATTTTGATTGAAGTAAAGAGCTAAATTTAAGAAGATTTTTAACGCTTCGAGTTCCTAGAATTTGGGGCGTTACAAACAAATTGTCTGAATGCCTTCGGAAAATTCATGCTCAATGTGGCCATTATAGAAATTGTTGAAGAGCAAACAAATGCAGCAGAGCTTGATAGTCTAGATCCTAAGAAGGGAAAAAAAAAAAAACATGATCCAACTTTTAAAGAATACTATATCAACCAACATTATACTCTTTATTCAAAAATATGTTGCGTAGGTAATTTCTGACTTAATACAATATATGCATTAGATTGGATAAGTAGCACACCAGCTGGAACTATGCCATCAACAAAAACATTAAATCCAACTGGTTCACCAACATCTATTCCCTTAGATTTTGCATACTAGCAGAAACCATTCTACCTACAAGATAGAAATAATAAGTCTTGCCAATGGAAGAAGAACAACCATGCATGTATTTTTGCACTAAATTTTTCCAGTCATGAAGAGGACATCTGATGGTCCGTCAACAAAGATGATCAATGAGGGTAGAATAAAACTAGCTAACAATGACTTCAATGCTGAATCAATTTCTTACCCACAAATAAAATAGTGACCTCATCTATGATTCTATAAATCAATTTCCTACAAAATAAAAAAGATTTTAGTGAGCATTTTAACCTATCGTAATGGAATATAGGAGAAAAAGGATATGTAAACATGCATCAACTTGGCCCCATATAACGTACTGTTTCCAATAGACATTTAATTTCTGGTAACTGAACAAAAGACTTTTTTTCTGTATTGCATTTGGATCTTTTCCCGACCAAATATGTATCTGTTAAACTAATGCTCATATAACAGTCATATACTCAAAATTTGTAATAAACTTTGCAACATCATGAATTTATAAGAACACAGAAAAGATGACAAGACTGGAAGTTCCCATTTCAAAAATCAAGTCCTTAAAAGTCATCAATTTTCAAGTCGATAGTTAAATATAAGCAAAGATACCTGTTTGGGATCAGCAGGGTAAGTACAGAGACAGTACTTGTCAGCATTCTCATTTGCGATCCTAAGCAACTTGGTATCATTTTTTCATATGGCAATAATTGTGTCTTGCCTGATGGCCATCAGCAGCACCGAGTAACCTTCATAGTCTATCTGCTCTTCTATCAAATTCACCCTCCCTAAACACAATAGTTCAATTCAAAATCCAATTACATTATCAGATCGAATGTCCAATTTTCAAAAAGAAATACTAACTTTTCGAAAATAAAAATATATATAGTTACTGAAGTTTACAGCTTTAAAATAAATGGACTGGACTTTCCCCTTCAAAGTCCCAGTCAACTCTCTCATCAATCAAGCTTCCCAAATAAATTCTGCTGCAACATTTCCTCAGTCCCTACTAGTCAAGAGTCTTTAGTTAATTTCAGTCAAGAATCTCCTATCAGTGCCTTAGTGAATTCGAGTCAAGAGTCTTTAAATGTTGATGTATGGCACAATAGACTTCGTCATCCGTCTAGCCAAGTGATGACTCGAGTGTTTAAAGTCTGTAATCTGAAAGCAAAGGAAAATACCATCAAATC